TACAATGCAAAACAAATTGCACACTATGAACTGGTTTCAGTATCTACTCAATAAGGCTACTAAAAGTCTGGGAAAAGAGCTGGGGGGTAAGATACCAACTAAAAGAAAATGCAGACTGAAGGCTTCAAAATCCTTTTTATCCACTACCAAGATATGAACAATTATCACAGTTATTACCACTGAGAGCCACTAGTTTGGTTTCTTGTCCTTTGTAAGTCTGAGGCTACTAACATGTAAATAATATATATTTATTTCATAACTATGTGAGGAATATCTCAAAGTTATTCAGTTACTACACCAGCTACCAGAAAAAAAAGATTATGATTAACCATTGATTAATCATTAATTAACCATTGATTAACTCTGCTGCCATTTCTTTATGCTAACTTAAGCAAATGGTAGCAGAGTTATTTATTTTCTCTAAAAATTGTGAATGCCATCTATTTGATTACATTAAAATGGAATATGAGGAAGAAACTGTGTTCAAGCAACACGAAAACTGACTACAGTGGCAACTTCCTTTTCTAAAAACTTGTCTCTATGCTGTACCACTCCCTATACAAAACTATATCAAAGAATTAAGATCTTGTTGTTTATATTTGGCAAAATAAACACTGGTAACACACTCTTAACACAGCCCTATGTGTGTATGTATGTATGTATGTGTGTATGCATGTATCATGAATTCTAACACAAGATGACTACATAAAACAAAAGGAAAAAACTGACACTACTAGAAATTAAATATAGTATGTTGTGACATAAACATATAATAAAGATGATGTCCTGTGGAGTAAGTGATTTATTGGGCTCTACCAATTAATTTCTGTTATGATACTATCATTTAATGGTGATAGATAGCCTGGTGCTCTGAGTACACTGTGTCTGGAAAGCTAAAAAACTTGTAAGAACTTACTAACTTTTTTACCAGGATGACAGTATAACTGCATTTCATTATGCTAAAATGCAGAAGATACTTTTTGGTTCTCACTCCTTCAGTAACGAAAGGGTGACGATTGTTTTTTTAGGAGAGCTAATATAGAGACCAGAAATTGTGACGATGAGCAGAAGTTCTTTTCTCCTTCTTGTGGTACAGGCTAGACAGTCAGTATTAGTGTTTAAGATTAAATTTTCAACAGTGCATAGGGTTATACTTTTAAGTGCCTAGCATCCACATTTGGGTCAGATTTTTCAAGATGCCAGCAGCCTATTAAGCAGATGCACACAGATCAGACTTTCAAATGTGCTAATGTATTTTGACACTCTAGTTCCTTACGTTAGGTCTTAGAAGGGAACTGAGCTTCTCTTAAAACTCTGGTCTCATTTGTGACTCATAAGCTCTTCCGCAACATTTGGACTGAGGGCCTAATTTAGCCCTTACTGATTAGGCAATTTCAAAAAACTGCTCACCTGCAACTCCCTGTTTAGTATTACTTAATCGATACATGGAAATGTTTCCTAATACAAAAGAGATGAGCAGGTCATCTCTGCTGTGCCGGAGTGTTCAGGTGCACGCGCGCGCACTTGTGTACACCTCAAGCACATTTTGTAAATATTTCACCTTCCCTTACACACGAGGAAGTAATTGGTACATGCATGTTTTGGAAACCATTCAAAGTTGATTTTCTGCGTGGGTAAACAAAGTGCTCATTGGTGCCAGCTCGCTTCAGTTGGGCGGTGTGAGGCAGAACGCGGAGCAGTGGCATCCTGCAGCTTCAAGGTACCTCCTGGCTTTTACGTACAGAAGGTAGGGAAAGAAGGAAGGAGCTCATGATACAGGCAGGACAAGGACAGTGCCAAAGAAAGAGTTACTTCTCTGGAGTTCAAGCATAAAGGCTTCACTAATTACTATTGAATCAATGCAGATACTTAAAACTAACCTGATAAATTCCATATTTACATATTAAATGTAACCGTTGAAATCATGCCTGTATAGATCTCAACGTAGGCAGGACTGAAATGTCTGTACATTTCAGTATTGTGCTCTTACATACATATTTAAACTTTTCAGAGTCTTATTTGCACTTCATTTGAAATCAGAATAATCTACCAGGTTGCCACATCTTGCATTTGTGGAAATTTATAGAAGTGGCATGGCATTGCCAACCCTGCACAGGGAACATTTGATAGGGGCTGTCAGAGAATCTCCCTAAAAATAACTACTCCTCCCCACCTTTTAGGGAACCAAATGGCAGCATTAGATCCAGTACTGCAAAAGCAGGCTCTGTAGGCCTAAAGAGAAGTTACCAGTTGGGGTGTTTTAATGCTCACACTACTGAGATTTGTTGGCCAAAGCAAAGCTTGTGGTATTTATTCAAACAAAATACAATCAATATGAATACAATCTACAATTTCTTTTTCCTGCTTCCAAACACCAGCGGGGAAAGTATTATGACACTGTATCATAAATCATGAACACAGTTACAGAGGTATAAGACCATTTTTGTCTACTGTTTACAGTAGAGTCAACCTGGGAACCTTTCTAGACAGTGCAGATACGGCAAAAATGTCTGAAACATCCAAGATTTCTTATTATACTCTCTACAGCTATAGAAAGGCTAACAAATTTTAAACCAGAAAAACAAATAGTGGAAGAAAGCAGAAGTAGCAATAGAATATATTAAAATGTGAATTGCTACTGATTGATTTTATAATGGCATTTTATTTTCTTTAAATTAGCTGCGTTTACATTAATTGAGTTCCCAGTTCTATGAAAATAAGCTATTCTGGTTTTGTCTATAAAAAAAAAAGACAAAAAATGCAATTCTATTTTATTTTAATTTTAGCAGCATTTTTAAAATGAAACACTAATGGTCTGATATCCACTGATGGGGGGGTAATTCTGCAGGTGCTATTTTACAGGTTAGTGTACCTACAGCTGCTAGAAGTTTGGTATCTGCTGCATATACAACCTGAAGCTGAAATGCTGAATGCCAGCAGTCAAAACGCTGTTGAAAGGGAAGTGGAATGGCTGGGCTGCTTTTTAACTCCTTGCAACAGTTTCATTTTAAGACAGCAATTTTATTTCTTTTAAGATGAGGGAAGGAAATGTTTTCACTTCAGTGTGCCCTGAATTTTAGTATGCTGAACTGTCTTTATCTCTGACATTATCCTGGTTGTAATTTCCAGTGAAGTTAATGAAGCTACAGATGATTTTGATACACTCTATGCACAATGTATGACTAAACTTTTTTTTTGGCAGCAGTTATATTTTATTATTACTTAAACACTGCACATCTTTTTGGGGGGAGGAAAAAAAGGTGTGAATAGTATTCACTATCATATCCCTATATTCTAGCCCTTATCCCTTTTATCAAGTAAACTACAGAAATATTTCTACTTTAGTCTTTGAATAACAGAATCAAAATAATTACAAAAAACCTTCTCCATTTAGACTCCTAATTCCAGATAACTTTCTTGCTCTGATCATTAAGCATGACCAATTTTGAGGAAAAAACCTTTCTGTAGCTGCAAAGCATCCTCAAGTGTCTATTTACAACGTTCAAAAATTAGAAATAAATCTTCAATTAAGAATAATTTTGATCTTTAGAGGCATTTTAGCATTTTGCTAATTCTGGAAATAATATAATATTCTAAAACTCAGGGCAGAGTTAGTGGGGTGGAGAATATTTTACAAAGAAACTAACAAGCATTTTGGCTTTGCATGTTTTTGAATTATATTTCCAATTAAAAATGCAGAGTGCTAAATCACATTACAAAGATAAATAGGAAAGTACAACTTCATTGTTGAAAACAATTTCCCTCCTATCAATCTGAGGATTCATGCATCAATATTGTAGATGAACTGTTAATTACAAAATCAATTAAAAAATTATTTCTAAAAACAGTCACGCGTCCTGGCTCTCAGGGGGGCAATTTGGGCAGAAGGTCTCATCTCACTAGGACCGCGCCAAATCACAAGTCGTCATCCACAAGTAAGCAAAAGCAATCTGGTTTTTCATTTTTCAGCGCGGCTGAGCCCAGCCTGAGATTGATCGTCACATATGGCCCCAGAAAACAAACTGTCAATACCTTGAATGCTGCAGAATTTGAACAAATAGCCGTCCGCCCATTCAAGCCACTCATTGCATCCCATTTAACAGATTTTATTGACAGTTTCCTTCTTGTAATTAAAGGGAAAACTACTGGCCAGCAACCAAGATAAAGTTCAAAGATAGGGTCAAAACAAAAGCAGATGGAGGGGCACGGTGTGACTGTCAATGGAACATAGCATCAGAGCATGTTATTGACACACAGGTATCTAATGATCGGCACGTCATTAAAGAGGGATCTATCGTGAACTTTATGCAAATGCTAAAAGGGACTTAAGACCACAATAAAGCATTAAGGAGACACAAAAGGAAAAACAACAAAGCAAAAACGATTTTTACTTATCTAGCAGTATTCACTGCTTCAGCACTTTCAAATTCAAATGCAGAAAAAAATTCTTTCTGAGATTTTTAACTCTTGCTGCACAGGTAATAATTTTTGCAGAAGTACTATCTCTAAAAATGCACAGGATCCGCAAGGTAAGGTGTGGTCCTTGTGAGATTTAATAAGGATTTCCTCTCTCCTTCCGTATCCTGAATTCACTCTATCAAATAAATCAGTAGCTGCCTTTAAAGAGAAAATATATAGCCTATTCTTCAGCACCCTTTCTTTCCTTTTAATTGCAATGATTAGGCTTGTCTGGATTATGGAATGGTTTTAGGAGAACAACATCTATATTCATTTGAAGGGATCTTTGCCTGTAAAATACTCTCCAAATCATACAGTGGAATATTTTCCACTGCCTTAGGGACATATTCCTCAATTACATTGAAACAGAAAGTTGTTCTTAGTTTGAACGGCTTTGTTTGTTGCCTTTTAGCTAAAGTCTAATTAGGAATTTCTTATTCTAAAACCATGTTTAAAACAAGCATGCAGAAAGTATTATGGAAGATAGGAAAAAAAAAAAAGTGACATTAAAAATGTAGCAACCGTCATGCCACTCTGCCAACCTGAATTAGCAAGTGCTATAGCTTTGAGGGTGACAAACTCTTCTTTCTCCAGCTTCATGCTCTTGTATTTCTTTACCAGCTGCAGTATGGCATTGTTAAGGTCAAGAAGGCCTGCCAATTTGGATTGGTCTTCATCCATAATATAATCTTCAGCATATACGAGCTCATCCTCAAAAGAAAGTGACCGGTATACAACACCGAGAATCAAAATCTCCATCCAAGCACTCTGCAGAAGGCTCATCTGGTCAGCTAGAGACAAAGTGGAGAATCCTGAGTAGGAAAAAAAAAAAAGGAAAAATATTAAGCACACCTGGATTTATCAGATTTATCAGAAATCTGCTCCTCTTTTTTATTTTTATATACATTGTGATAAAACATGCATGTAATTCTATTATTCTCTCTTCTGCTTTTGTGCCTCTTCTCCTCTTCCTGTAACAAGAAAGTGAATCAATATAAAATCAAATGTTTTCTAATCAAAACCAAAGTTTTAAACAAGCTGGAATTTGCAGACTCTTTCTGTGAGAATCATAATAATCTGGGGGGTTCTGCACTGACAGTCTGTGATTTGTATCATGTCTTCTTTGTTCTGAAATAGTTGTGCTTAGTTCTAAAAACCTGATGCTCTGAAACAGGGATCTGCTGATTCTATTCATCACTACCATAAACCAAGAAGGACAATTTAGGAAAGAAAAAAATAAAACTTTTAAAAGGGAAGATTTGATGTTTTAATAGAATTAAGGTGCCAGTCAAAAGGAGAAAAATTCTCTTTGAACTTTAACCTTAGGGGAAAGAGATGTAACACCCACCTTTTGCAGAAAAGACACTAATCATTTCAATAATGGCTTCTGCTACACTTGTTGAAATAACAGGGTGGCATATTGAAATGCCAACTGAATAGCAGTCACACCATCCTTTTTCTGAGGGCAACCACAATTTTAATAAATGCCTCTTAATTAATTTAACTTTTGCTTTTTTTCCCCCTCTCTCTGCTGTCTTTCCTAATAAAGGCAAACATCTTTACTGTCTTACCTTTTCAGACTCTTGTTTACAGTACCTGTTAATTTATTATACCAAACTGCTAATATCCCAATCACATTAGGTGCTAGAAAACAATATGGGAGAGGAAGTGATTTTCCTGGCCTGTTGGTGAAATGCAGCAGTTTGCCAGTTGGCACCATCAACCACAAGTACTTAATAAAATCATCAAAGGGGATTAGTCAAGCTTTTCTTAAAGGGTCTTAAGACATGTCTGAGGCTTTCATTTAGTTGTTTATGGAGCTGCTTACATGTCCTTTGACAGGGTTCCCGCTGTAAGAACATTCTTTTTGGCGTTCAATTACACTTAAACGCATTTTTCTGTTTTGAAAGTCAAGAGTTACAGTCAAGCAAGAATATATCATAAACTAGCAAATCTGCAAGGCATCTACTCCAAACAAGATTTTCTCTATAAGCACTAAGCAACAAAACTAATACAATAAAAAAGAAAAGCCCACATCCAAACCACCAGGCATCCATAAAAAATGAAACATAAAACTGGCTGCATGCTCTCTCTCTCTCTCATTTTTCTCCCCCTCCTTATTTGTTTTCATTTTCTCTTACTGTTTTTTGAGTCTTGTGATAGAACTGTAGCTCTCCTCTTTCAAAAAAAAAAACCCAACAAAAACTGAGCCAACAACAACAGGAAACCCTTGAAGATGTGACAATAGAAAATAACACATCTGTGATTAAAATAAATAAGAGGGAAATGGAGAAGAAATAATCATTTCAGAGGTTATAGGGAGGAATTCATGATTTCAATTAGCTTCAACATTTCTGTTCCTTCCTGTCTTTCAAGAACCAGTTTTTCTGCAGTAGCAGATGGACAGAGAATGTAGCCTGCAGCACCGTCCTGTGACAGCCCCATTCTCCCTCCCAGACACTGCTGTTAGTAAATAGATTTACACATTCTCCAATCTCCACACATCTTTCTGCCGAATAATTAAAAGCAGGATGATTAGTTTATTGAGTGGAAGGAGGAACTTTTTTATTGAGGTCCATCCACGATTTTATCAGGGCCAGCACTTTTACGGTTGTCATGAGGGTGCAGGCATCCAATTTTTCTTATCTGCCTGATTAATACAAACGCTGTTTCAGGACGCATTAATTAACAGATACAAATCTACGTTCTCATGGAAGGATCAATACAGAGAAGAAAAGAGGCATCAATGTGAATTTAGTGCTGATGATGGAGAAGGCACTCTATTGACATTTACGTGCATAGAAACTTTAAAGTTGCAGTGGAGCCCTTTTGTCCCTGTGATTTACAAATTAACAATTTTTCAGGTATAACAATGTTTCACACACTTCTGTGGAGTTTAATTAAGAAAAAAGCAATAAAATCAGTTTTGATTAAAAAAGTTTAACCTGCAATTTCTCTCTGTATTTGGTTTTTTTTCCTGAAAACTCCCCAACTTCCTTTTTTATTTGCTTATCTATTTTGGCACTGGTTTCATTTTTTTTATAAATAATACTATGTTTCAATAACATTTATTGTGTGCCACAGTCAAAGGAAATTACATTTGCCCTGTGAGTGGGGGAAATGGGATGTTGACTATAATTTATTGTATTGCACTCTTGAAAAATCTGCATTCTGGAGCAGTAAATACACCAGTTGTTTTTATTTGACACATTAAAAAAATCAAAATAAATTTTTTACATTATAGAAAAACTGGCAAATATAAACCACATTGTTCCACTCTTCAATAATAAATCAAATCAACATGACTATTTTCTTCCTGATCGAAGTAACTTTCCCTTGAAAGCCTGTTCAGTGAAAGCATGTTTTAACTTTTAAAGGCATCCCTCGTGGGAATGTAAAGCTGCATCAAGTTGTAATTAATCTGGTTTTGTTTTGATTTTTCAGAAAATGTAAAAGCATCCATCATATCTCTTGTATCACAGCAATGCCCTTTTAATATGTATTCAACAAGTCACAGTTAAAAGAACAGATTACACAGGAATATATGTTTATGTAGAGAATAGATTACACAGGTATATATATTTTTATTATATACAAAGATTTATTTTTAATTGTTTGAAGGAGGTTATACTTATTTCACGCCAAAGTCGAGTCTGTGAGCTTTTGTTATCTGAGTGCCCCAGATCAACCACATCCTCTGACAAGTGGACATTTTCTATATTAAATTTTAACTATTTTTTAAAAAGTCTCCACATTGGACGAAATACACTTCCATCTTTCTGAACCAGTGTTAGCCTCTCCAGTCACATCTCAAAGCTCTTTCCAAACCACGCTGAGATGCTGCATGATGGTGTGGTTTTGGACCTTGTTGTGCATTGTGTGCATCCCTAATCTTTCAGAGTCTTGCAGGTCACCGCTTTAAATGTAGAACTGTGTAACAGCTTTTAAAATACAGTGTTGTGCACCTTTCCCCCCCTTAGCACGTACCATATTGGTGACAACTTTGATCTCTCTCCATCTCCCTCCCCAAGTCAATGCCATTTAATGTATCTCAGGCATTTGCTCGCAGAATGACTCTGTACCTTGACCTGCAGTTAAATAGCATGTTTATCTGCGATACAGCGCACTCCAAATAAACCAGATGACAGTTTGCAGTAACGTCATTTGGAAGGATTGAAAGGCTTCTCAAGAGTCAGGTACCCCTGAGGTAAGAAGCTTGAAGGAAGCATGTTTTGTGCCAACCCTCCTGCCATCTTCTACTAGACAGTCGTGTGCTTGACAATGATGCCATGGGCACTTGTCAAGATTTTTTTTTTTCTTTTTGCCTAGCAAACTGATGCACTTTGCAGTCAACTTACAAAAAAGGCTAAGCATTTGAAAGTGTGAAGGGCAAAAAATATCTGACGGCTAGTCTTCAAAAATACACTTTCATTTCAGAAAGCATAAATGTTTATTTCCTGAGCTGAGTGTTGACAGAAATAGGCTGCAGTGCAGGCATATGAATTTAACCCCTGGTAGGCATTCTTTTCAGTGTGATTTTTATGTGTCTGAGTGCAAGCATAGTAAATCTACAGGGTGTCTTGTACTATCAGTTAACAATAGCATTGATTCGCTGGTTACAGATTTTTTTTCCTTTTTTTTCTTTCTTTCTCTTCCTTTCAGGGACTGTAGTGTTCTTCCGCTAAAAATAGACACTTTTCTACAAACAGTGTATCACACTCAAATTGTAATTATGCCATAATGACTCACTGAGATAACTCAGGGTGGATTGAGAAAAGGTTGATTGAGCAACAGAACATATACTTGTGGTTTTTTTTCTTTTGCATACCAGTAACCCCAAAGCTCAAAGGAAGCAGCAATAAATAGGTAAAAAGGCCTTAACATTTTTATTATAGGAACAAGGGGTGTTGAGCTGACTGCACTCTGCAGTGCTCAGCACTCCAAGCCAGCTCCAAGCACAGTTCACAGCCTCTTCAACAGGGCTGTTTAAACCACAGATCTTTTCAAATATCAGCACATGCACCACTTGCTCTCTATTTCACACTGCACACAGCTCAATGATAAGCAGGGTAAATCTTTTATATTCCTGAAGACCCTTTCCTCTACTTCATTAAGATGGACTTCATGGACACTAACTCACTAGGGGCCAGAGTGAAGCAGCTGCAGATGGTCAAGTGCCAAAGTAAGATCTGTGCCTTGCACACAGCACTTCGAGAACTACTGGCCAAAAAAAAAGACAGTGGCTGGACTTATCCCTACCATTATTTTCATCCTTAAACATTTGATACGATGCCTCAGTCAGGTTAAGGTTACTCAGACTCAAATCCTAGAGTCTATTTCACTTCGCAGGAAATGAACTTCCCTTCCTCTCTGATACATGTTTAGAAATCCTAATATTTGATCAAACCTGGTATGAAATTGCTGGTAAATCTGGGAGTTGTCTGCCTTTTCTGATAATTGTCTCCCATTTATTTTATCAGTTGTTTGTGTGACTGTTAGCTTTACGAGTGAAATATTCCTCTTGTTTGCCCTGGTTTGTACTTCAAATATCTTCATTTACATTTTTTATAATCAAAGCTGCACTTGAAAATGACATGTTCACTAGTGTGTTGCAGATTCAATATATTTACACAGTTGAAATATCAGAGTAGGATTTTTAAATTATTTACACTTAATTTTGATAGATTAACTCTTTCTAAATGTTTTATGGGTACTGATGTTTCCAGCATAGTTTTCTGTTTGGGTTTTTTTTTCAAAAATGATGTATAGCCACTACTGTCCAAAGAACAATCTGATATTGTAAATACATTTT